TGGTGCCGTCGCTGGCGGCCGGAGCGGGGGCGGGGCTGCCCGCGAGAGCCCGCTGGCGCGGGTGCCCCGCAGCGGGGCGGGCCGGGCCGGCGGTCCCTGGCGCTCCTCCCGAGCGGGAGCCGAGGTCGCACCGCGCGCACAGCCGGCTTCTCAGGAAACTGTGACAGGAACGGGGGGGAAGGGTTAATATTCGGGATGTTTGTTAAGGAGGAGCAACAATTACAAAAGAAGCTCCCGAGGAGCGGTTCGAGTCCGGGCTGCGCACTCCCGGAGGGATGCGCGGGCATGCACGGGCCAGCTCGCCCGTGGCTCCGCTCCCGGGAGCGGGAGGCGCGGCGGGAGATGCCTCCGCACCTCGCCGGTTTCCCGGGGCCTGGCAGGTGAATGGCGAGAGGGGCGCGGGGAGCCCGGGGCGCTGCGCTGCCCTAGGCCGGGCCCGGCTGGAAGGGGACGCTCCCGGCCCCTTCTGGGTGCTGTTCTCTGGGGCGGTACTTACGGCGAGGGGCTTCTAACGGGGGCTTTGGGGTCATCGTGGCTGTGCGGGTGGGACAGACGCTGTGCTTTGTCGTGTTTCTGTCAGGCGCTGGCAGCATCAGTGCCTCTTTGTGACGGCTGGTTCTAGTAAATACCCAGCCTGTGTTTGCTCGTGCTCAGCTCAGAACACCAGAGTCGGGATAATCGTTGACATGCACTGAAATAAAGCGAGAGATATAAAGGTCTGAACTGCCACGGTTGCCTTTTCAGAAGACTGTAATGCCCCATACGGTGCCCCACAATTTTCCAAAGTAAAGAAGCCAGGAAGATATGTACCAGAATTAACCTGCCATGAATACCGTTGAAGAATCTCAGTCAGTCCAGCAGTGCTGTTGCTTAACCTGGTGAAGTTGTAGTAAAGTTGATACCAAAAAAAAAAATTAAAATGAAAAATGTAAACACCTTTATAATTGCCCTTCCAAAAAAAGGGAAGTGTTTTTTAGAAAAAGTTTACAGGTAACCTATTTATTGCTTTGCTAAGATCTTCTGGCCCCCATTTAACAATAACAGACTGTCATTTCATTTGATAGACGATTGCATTGATCTGTTTTTTATCATGCTGCTTCCTGAGTGCATGTGCTAGTTTAACGCAGTGTACAGTCAGTGCTGTCTCCTGGGGCAGCGATGATCTCATCTGACTTTTGTCAGTCTAGTGTAGTCCTTCCTCTATATGTAAATTTGTTGTCTAGAGCCCAGTTACGATATGTTGAGAGAAGTTGTGCCCTTTGAAGACTCAGTTCAATGTATGTGTTGAAATACCTTTTTTTTCTAGTTAACTTAGAAATTTCCAGAAAGTACTGCTGAGATTTGTGTTGGTTTCAGCAAAAGTTTGTGATTATCTAATCAATGCTACAGGAGAAAGTGTGAAACCCATCAAGTCCTGTGATTTGCAAAAAGTGAAAGTGGCAGTAGATTTGTCCTCTTCACTCCAATTAAGATTTTTGGGCAGACTGGTTATTTCAATATAATGCTACCTTTTACTCTCTTGAACGGTTTGCTTCTAGGTGTTGGTCAAGTTAGTGGAAGAAACATCACCAAAATGTTCTTATGGTTTAGGAAAAATCCTTCCCACTATTATGTAAAATCCAGCTGGCTTCCTGGTATCTGAGTAAAGAGATTCTCTGTCAGGAAGTGGCCCCCACCCCCTTCCTGCTCGGCTCAGAAAAAATAGCTAGTGACATCTTCCAAGAGCTTACCTGTATACAAAATTCATTGCAATACAAAAAATTAGCAGCAGCAGCCTCCAGACCTGAAAACAGGCACGGTATTTTGATTTCACCAAATTCTCCCACCTCTTAGATTTTGGGTGACAGCAAAAGGGAGTGTAGTTTTTCAGTCTCAAATTGACTGGGATTGAGAATTGATTCCATGGGTCTGTGTTGTTTCCATCTATGCAATAGTGTTTATGCTTTCCTTTGCAAGACTGTGAGGTAGTTTCACAATGATAAGGTATGAGGACCTGTCCAAAAAGTTGCTGCAATAATCATGCCTGCCCTCTCTCTTGGGAGAGACCTTCTTGGCAGGTCAAGTACATAATTTCGAAAATAGGTACCAAAAGACGTTGTTGAATCAAAGGGAAAATGAAGTTTCCAGAAAGTGGGGATTTGAATTTATGGTTTCTCAGAATTGCCTGGCAGCTGTTACAATGAATTTGAGGTCAGGGAGTTGCTTTTATTTCAGTCTCCAGAATTTTAATCTTAGACGTTTCGACTGAGAAGAATGAGTATGCTGATGGTGGAGACTGTCTAGGGGATGGTTATATTCATGTTGCTGCTTCAACATTTCTGCTTTAACCATTCCAGCACCTCCACTGTTACTTACCTGGATTGCTTAAAGATTATTGAGCAACTGGGAGATCTTTGTAATGGACTTCACATTGTTGGTACTTCTGTTCTTTTTGGTTTAAACCAACAAATGACTTGGGCATAAAACTCTCCTACATGTCTGCTAGGCATCAAACTTGAAAAGGGAAAATGCCCAGAGAGAAATTTATATATGACTTTTGAAACGTCCCCAGAATGAATGTGTAAAATTGTGCTTAGTAAAAATGAGAGTTTATATACCAGCATCTTCCTGCACCGTGAGGTTTAGCTACGCTAGACATAAAGCATGTGAGTCCTTAGAAATGTGTCTATTTTATATGTAAAGATGGGAGTGGGCAAATTGATTTTTGTCACATGGAGGGAGTTGAATGAGTATTGCCACTCATTAGCGTAGGGTTCTTCTACCAGGGTTCTTCTATGGAGAACAGTAATTTGGTATGTATCTGAGCTAGAGACTATGGATTTCAAACATGAATGTTATCCACTGTGTTGATTTTTGCAAGCAAAATCAAGTTCATTTAACATCTTGTCCTGTTCATTTTCAACAAGTATTGGAGCTATCCCCATCACTCACTCTGCATCTACGTGTATAACAGAAACACAAGTCTTCAGCTCCTGTCTCTGCCACTTTGGAAAATCGAATTCCAGCTAAAAAGCTGGAAGAACTGAACTGATTTTGCCCCTCTGAAAGTTTGCTTATCCAAATTATCTCTAACTCATGACTTTTTACACACTAGAACAACAAAACCACAAGAGGCCCTGAAAGCTCAGACTGTGACATAGGCTTCCACAGGAAGCACACTTGCCTTCACATACACCCCGACCAACCACACACAATCATGGTTTTAGCTGCATCTGTGCCCGACTTTAAAGAGAGGAAAACAGAGTTGTCTGACAAAAACAATGTTGATCCCCCTTCCCTGTTACTTCCCAGTATGTGTTGCTGTGAAACCATTTTAAATTGGGTATATCCTTGTTTTGGTTCCATTTCATCATGGAAAATGAACACAGAGATCCTTTCTTTCTTTCCACTCTCTTCTGGATCATGGTGGGAACAAGCATCAGCACAACGTTTTGTAGGCCTAATACTGTAACTACTGCTATGTCCCAAAGAGCTTTGCTTCTTCTTGCGCACAGGATGCTGCAGCTGGCTGCCAGCTTTCTCCCCCCTTCCTTCCTGTACTCGCCCATGCACGTGTACACTTGGGTCAGTGCAGGTTTCTAACCCTTGCACTTCTGCTTCCTGGAGAGGGCCAGAACCCTTCACTGTTTTGCTTTGGGACACTTGCACTTTGCAGCCTGTGGTCTCGAATGAGAGTCTCCACTTGTCAGAGCCACCACTGCATAAAAACTATGGTGTTTTTCCCTTTGCTTAACAATCAGTTCTTCCTGTTTGAAGTCTCCTGCTTGTCACTGCAGTGACATGTGCAGCTTTATTAAGTCCAGAGCCACAGTCTGACAATAGAGACCAGTTTGGGAATAGTGTAATTTTAAGATTTTCTTTTTCTCACCTGTCCCATTCACTGCAATGTGTTCCAATGTGGCACATGCTTATGCAGTACCCTATTTAAGCTGTATTTGTATTCTAGAGCCAATGCTTGCGATTCAAATTAAGAGTTTGTTTAGGGAGAAAGAAAAGTTGCATCTTTTAAGCTGAATAAGGTCCTTGATGTCTTTCAAGGTGTACAGTCCAAGCTGATTGGAACTAGGATTAATACAGTCCTGTCTTCCCTTCCACCTCTGCTTCCTGCCCCTCTCTTTCATCTAATCATACAGGGAGTCCATTCTGCTGGTTGATACAGCAAAATACATTGTGTGCTGTTGGAAAGAGCACAGTTTTGTGTTGGCTTAGCTTCCTCAATCAGATCACTGTTTAATGGGGGGCATTCACTCTGATGTTGACCATGTCTTGCAGGATTGGGACCTCTCTGGGAAAGCTTAGTTTGACTGTGTCCCATCCTTCTTTGTTTGTTTGTGTGTTTTCCCTGAGCTCCCTAATTAAACAGTAGACCAGGTTTGAGGATAAAATAGTCAGGCCTCAGTCTCTAGGGTAGATGATAGTTCTTCGGAAGTGTGATCCTTCTCAGTCCCATTTCCCACCTGCCAAATGCCCAGTGGATGCATTAACATGCCTTTAGTCTCAAACTGAGCAGTGCAACTTCTTAGGAGCTATTTATCTTATCATGTTGTCCATTTAGGGCCAGAGCAAGCCCCCATCTGCCTGCACAGGCCTTGTAGACCTCACAGGAGAAGATTTAAGTGAGAAGGTCTTTTCCTTCTGCTCTAGGTGGTGCAGGTCAGATATTATTACTGAGGGAAGGTGCCTGATTTTCTGCCTCTTGGCCTCATTTTGTCTCAAGGAAGACAAGAACCTGGGATAGGGATGATGGAGAATATAAAATAGAGGATGGGAGGAGTACCAGTTCATTTGATGGTTGGGTAATATAAAAATTGTCACTTTTAATGCACTAAGAGCAGGCTGTTGTGCTTTTATATCATCATTATACCTAATTCCTGTCCATGATAATTTAGTCATTTATATGCCTCAAGGCCAAGTGACAGATGATGTACTTTTTTTTTTTCCTTAGTAATAACTTGCCTAAAACTATCTTTTTATTCTTGGGTTTTTTTATGTAGGAAATGAAGACATGAACAGCACTGCACCTTTTACTACGATTTCAGGCCAGAGGTTGCCAGGTAATGCTCTTGACATTTCTGTTGCTATTCCTCAGTAACATCGAGAAAAGCAATATATATTATTGTATACCTTAAACTATCCCGTCATAATTTGTCCTTTATTGAATTGTGAACAGCTGTAGGGCAAGGGGGAAGATACTCTGATTGTCACATCTATTCTGGGACAACTGAAGTTATTTAAGAGGAACAGTAGAACTCAACGCAGTTCTCATATACTTAGTTACTCCAGAGCAACAGAGAGAGGAGAAATAAAATGGGAAAATTTTGTATATGGAACCAGAAACACCTGGCAACACCCATTTACAGTTAAAAGGAGAACCAAGAAGTCTGCTAGGCTAGAATTCAGATAAAGGCAAGACACTTTTTCATTTGAGTAATTTTTGCCCTGTACTACTACGCTCATTTTATTTGCTGTTGGCCGAAAATGGGGTGCATGGCTAGTACTCTGCTCACTGACTCACTCTAGCTGGTGTTAATTGCACTACTGACTCACACCCAAATTCCAGGCAGTGTACGTAGCTTCTTTTCACCTGTATGAACATGCAGTCCACATCCAGAGTCGTCCCAGGGTTGCAGAAGGAAGCACTCAGAACGTGGAGGAAATGCAAAGATATGTTCTGGTTGCAGTATTGGCCCAGTGTAGAAAAGGTTTAAACCCAGGCATCTCCATGGCTTATGCTGGTATAAAAATCAACATATCCAAGAAAGAATGTGTTTGTAATTGTACAATCCTAGACTGTTTCTCAAAGGCAATTAAATCTGCAAGTTAATATCCCACGTATGTCAGTATAAGTGTTGCATGAGCAGGGGGGGCTAGTTGGCTGTGATTATACCAAAGAAAAGGCAAAGTAATTCCCTCCCACAATCCCATTTTTTGGTACATGGTATGAAGGTGTAAATTTGGTGCATTTGTTCTTAAACCTGAGCTTGCTCATATCATGTATGCAATTGCAAAAAGCATTGACAAAACTGTTTTAGACTAGACTTTTCCAGTGGTAAGATCAGCAGATCCATTCAAGGGAAATAGGTATATATCTGCTTCTTGTTTGCAGTAGCTGTGTTGCTCTCAATCTCTGAGGTTATGTGCTTTGCTTTTCAGCCATGCTGAAAACCAGCAGTGCTGCTGCAAGGCACATAGCACTGTGGGAGGGTGCTGTAAAAGATCAGTTACTTCAGAGAAAAGAATATTCACAGAATGGGCATACACAGCAGGGCAGAATGAAGGGAGAAAAGTATGGACAGTGACACTCCCAGGAACAGCCCAGTAGATCTTAGCCAGGAGGAAGACTGTTAACCTGTAAGAAATACAGAAGAGGGATGCAGCAATGAGGACAGAAGTGAGAATGGGAGGGTGCCTGAGAAACCTAGAAGTAACATGAGGAGGAAGGAGGGGCAAGAAAAAGAGAACTGGAAAAGTAGAGGTGAAAACAAGGAGAGAAGAACAAAACCTCTATGATTGAAACATGGTTTGTATTTTACATCTTTGAAAACAGGTACCTTCTTAGGACTGTTTTTTGTAGAGAGAACATAAGTCTACAGAAAGATGTTTCACAGAGTCTTGATTTGTCCCTACTTGACTACAGTATATTCCCAGCATCAGCCCAGTTTGCAACAGAGATACAGCAAAATGGAAGAAAAGATTGAGGGACAGGAAATGGAACTGAAGTAGAGGAATAAAAACTACAAAAAAACCTCACAGTGCTTAAGTAGGTCAAGAAAGTCAGTGATAGTATGGCTATTTACAGCAAATGGAATAGAACATGACATAGAAGTGGAAGAGAGCAAACAGAGGAGATATAAAGAATTCAGATGCAGACCATTCAGGCACTGTTGTGCATAGAGTGTAACTATGTTCTTGCTGCTCTGAGGTCTGGAAGTATTTTGCAGAGGGATAAAAGCTGTCTGCTTTGGGATGGAATAATCTCTACCGTATTTCCTGTTGTAGTCTGCAAACACAGATACCCTGAGGAGAGTATTGTGTTGTGGGTACTTTAATTATAGTGTGTTAAATTGAAATGAATAATATTGATTTTCTTGTTTTTCTTTTTTTTTCCTTGAAGACAATAGCAGTTCATCCAATGTCACTTCTGTGTCATCCACACAATCTGCAGCAACATCTGCTGGAGGTATGTATCTGTTCATCTGTCCATGACTATGGACCTAGAAGTTAGCTCCAAACCTAGCCCAGATCATACCAAATTCTAAAGAACAGGACATCAAAAGTGGGTATTTGAGAGAGAGGCATTATCATTTTAGGGCTGGGAAGCAACATGTAAAACAACTCTGAGAAGAACCTATACTGTTTTTTCAAATTTAGGTAGCATGCTTCATCAGTAATTACATTTGCAATGCCATTGTAACACAGGATTCAAAATAAAAATTCAAGGAAGAATTGCAAGAAGTTGGTCTTTTAACTGTTCATTCTTTTTCTCTTAGCAAACTTCTTCCATTTTCGTGGAAGGTGAATAGGATGTTGTGCAAACAGTGCGTATCTGTTTAATATTATTTCACAGTAAACAGATGTAGGGTATAATGAAATCCTGAGAGCTTGAGTTTCAAAAGTAAGCCTTTATTTCCTTTTATGTAAGACTCACCATGATGATGATCAAGGTTGGAAGAAGCGTTCAGAATGGTTTAGAGCAACCATCAACGCAGCACCACCAAAATCACCCCTAAACCATATCCCCAAGTGCCACGTCCAGATGCCTCGTGAACATTTCCAGAGATGGTGACTCCATCACCTCCATGGTCAATATATTCCAATGCCTAACCACTCTTTCAGTGAAAACCTTTTTTCTAATACCTAAACTGAACCTCCCCTGACACAACTTGAGACCATTTGCTCTCGTCCTTTCATTTGAGACACGATGGAAGAGACTGACCCCCATGTCACTACAATCTCATGGGAGTTAATACCATAGAAAGTAGTCCCTTTAGAGCTCATAGCACAAAATAGCACCATTTAAGCAAGACACAAATGACAGACATGGAACAATCTGTCATGGGTACTTTTACATTGTTCTAGCACTACCTTATTTCTTTCACAACCTGGCAAAAGAACTTTAGGTAAGAATTATTTCCCAAGGCAGCAATATTGCCTTTGTGGTGCTCCAACATAAATAACATATTAACACATCTTTGTAGAACAAACAAACAGTTCATCCACTTGCATTTGCAGTGTTCCAACTGTTGGCTATGTAAGTGTCAGATTATTAAAAAAGGAAATTAAAAAATTCATGTTGTGGAAGAACTTGCGCAGGCAAATTTCACTACATTAGTAAGGACTGGATAAGAGTTAATGTCTTGCAGTTGTTCAGGCTGTGATGCACAGATAAAAGGTTGCATCTGAGAGAAGCTAGTTCTAGAAACTGGATCCCCTTTGTGCTAAGAACCATGTGAAAGCAGAGCAGAAATACTGGGTCTACCAAAAGATACTTTGTGTACCTGTGGAATTTTATGCTAAGCATAAAGTCCCAGCTGTGTCATTACGTTTCCAGTACAACTCTTACTTTCTGTCCCTGTAATCTCTAGATAAGCTCTGAGCTACCACACTCAGAAGTTGCTTCTATTTACATATAAAATACTCACTAGGAGAGAAGAAAAAAAACCAAAACTTTGCAGGGACCTTTCTTTAGATAGCAAGCAAGTGGTGCAGTGTCTCATTCCATTGCCTACAGAGTCACAGTTTAAGCATGTCTAACTTGGAAAGTTGTGAGAATTTTGTAATCTACTTGTTGCCTTACAGCCTTCCCCTAAAAGTGCAAAGCCATAGTTCGCCCCAGCGTTTCACCAACCTTCTGCTCCATTTCTCTTGCTCTCTGCTCCAGCCCTTGCAGGTTTCTTTTAGAGGTCTGAACTTTACTAGGTCCGGATAATAAAAGAAAAAAGAGGCCTGAGCCCTTTACTGTTAGGCACAGTATAAGGCTAAGAGAGAGCTATGCCTTGCTTCACAAGGTTTATGATTCCCATCCTTCTCTGTCTTTTTTATTTTGTCATCAGAAACCTCATAGATTTTAAAACAATGTTCATCCATTTTGATTATCCATTTCAACCTCTTCTTGCTTAAAGGCTCTGCCATTATTCTTTTTTGAGGGGCAGAGGTGGGGAGGGAGCTCGTTATGGCGGAAACAGAAGTTCAATCATTTTCCATGCAAAAGAGAGATTATTTTAGGAAGAGCATAATAATTTTGTATGTTAGCACAGTGCTTATGCAATCTGAGTTTTGTGTTCATTCTTCAGCTAGAACATTAAGGGAGTAGTAGTGCATGCTGCTAAGAATTCTTACCTATATGCTATATATATATATATATTTTGATTGATGCGTATAGTATAGCTATTTACTGTTTAAACATAGGTGGCATACTAAGTAAAATACTTGTCTCTTTTAAAAACAAAGCATCATAAACCTGAACTATATTACTGGCATGCATCCTTTTTAAACAAAAAAAATTAACTCAGGCAGTCAGGGTTTGTTTAGTGTGATGTTCGATGAAGCCCAGCTGGTCTTTTGGGGGAAGAGTAATTAGGGAAATAAAAGATAAAGGGACAGATGTTGCTATATTCTTTCATTTTAACTTTGTTTGTAAAATAGTATGGGTAAGATTTTTCAAAGACAAAGAACAGATTGATGCCTGATTTATGTCAGCTTTCCAAATTCTCCAGCTGCCTTAGATAGACTCCCACTGATGTTTTGAAATGACTGATGCTAAATACATCAGGAAAGATAGGTCTGGACATTAAACAGACTTTACAACCCTCGATGATATAACATTAACAGTAATCTTGATAAAATAAGAAAAAAAGGATTGCTAGTAGGAAAGAAAGGTGGGGAGAAGTAATGTGCAAATGTGCTGAAATTCCTCGTAGATGTTTGGATATTTTTTGTCATGACTCAGGTTTTCTGTAGGGTAATTTGATACCCGTGGAATAATTACCATCTTTGTGTAACATTGTTTCATAATGTTATGCATGGAACAATTAGCCATTGTTCAGAAAGAGAAGCTGCTTTGACACTCAGAAATCATGGCTGAAAAAAACCCCACAGAAAACTGGCTGCTTGACACTTGCATTCAGATTTGTCTTTCTTTTGATATTGCTTATATTAGGCATGCAGTTACCAGGTGTGGTTTCATGTCATAAAATGTAGGTGGTTTCCATATAGACATTTCATTGCTTATTTCCTACAATGAGAAACGATTTGATATTTATAGATCATTGTGCCTTTGGGGAGTTTACCTGTCACTATTAAAATGTGCCCTGAATTTTATCTGATGTATTTTACACATGCTTCGTAGAGGAACTGAATTTCCTAATTGTAACAAGGTAAGTACGTGACTATAGTACTCCAGCTGTTCCAGCTCAATGAATGCTCATTTCAAAGTGTATCCTAGGGTTATGGCACAATGCAGTTACAACAACAAAGACCAGGAAAACAAATAACATTTACTAATGAGACTGTATTAGGCTGTTTCAGTGGTTTTAATGCTGAATGTCTCAGAAGTGTAGTGTAGGCCAGTTCCTTTCTGAATGCTTACACTGTTGTACTGCTGTTTTTAATGTTCATATCAGTACTGGAAGCTGTGATATTTAAATCTTAGCAAAGACAGAGTTCGGTATGTAGTTCCTCATGTTTTACACCACACTTACAAGAATATTATTCTATAGAAGCATTTTAGATACTGTATATTAAAAAAACCAAAAATTGAATATCAAGTTTACTTTGGAATTGAGATGAAACTATCTATTTTTTTCAGTTATTTTAGTTTTACACAATTGTAAGAAAACCTGAGTATAATTAAAGATTTGAATGTCCATAATAAAAAGCTTTTGTGGCATTTAAAATGAACTCAGCTTGTGTGAGGTTATAGAAATAATGCAGAAGTAGACTGCTACAAAGGGAGCTTTTTCTATCTAGAATTCTTTCCTACGTAAAAGCTATTTGCCTCATACTGTCTGCTTAGAGAAATGTTAGTTGCATAACAGGCTCATGTTTCTTGTTACTTCCTTCTTAGAAAAATAACAAATTGCTTTAAAATCATTCTTTCTGGCTGCCTTCCACTAAGGTTCTAAGGATTTTGCTATAAATATCAATCCCTATTATTTGTGAATTTCACATCATGGTATTTTTATTCTGAACAGTTCATTAATGCTTTCTGAGGAGGGAAGGGGAAGCAAAGTTAAAGACATTAAGTGTCCACTGAACTTGTGAAACACCTTTCCAATCTTTGTTTTCACCTTGACAAGACATATCACTACTAAATAGATTATATAAGCCAGCAAATTGACTTTAGCTGAACTTTTATCGTGTGTGGAAAACATGAACCTTAAGTTTCACATAAATACAGAATTCTCTGTGGTAATTTTTAATATATATGGAGCCTTAGAATGCTAGTGTTTCATTCAAAAGCAAATTAAAAATGAAATCATTACTAAAATTAGAGGGGGGGAATTTTGATGCAAAATCTGTTCCTATTAGAAAATCTTTGTTGTCTGAAAAAACGGGTGCTTCCAATTGAAAGTTACTCTTGACCAGAAGTTCACTGCATTTTAAAATACTGTAAATTAGGCATCATTCTATGGAACTGGATAGTGTTATAAAAAAAAAAAATGACCCTTCTAAAAGTTATCCAGGTTTTCTTTACAACCTTCCCTTTAAATCATTCATGACCTTGAGGCCAGAAATCAGAAGTTAGGTCTTTCCAAAGCAAAGTCTGTATGCAAACCTGGATACTCATGCAGTGGCATTTTCATTGTTACTCTTTCGTTCTATTTGGGCACAATAAATGCTGTCTTACTCCATGAGTATGCAGTTTATTATTTTTATGTATTTTTCTATGTGGTATCACAAATAAAAATTTCCCAGGTGTGTCCACCAGTACTACTCATCTGACCAGTACCACTCAGCCCACCATCACCAATATGTCTGTCAGCTCGACGACTCAGCCCACCAAAACCAGCCAGACAATAAGATCCACCACAGCTTCATCAGTCACATCATCACAACTCTATACTACAGTGGTGACCACTTCCAAGATTTCTTCCACTTCTGTAACGGGTGAGTTCACAGTTCAGGAAGCTCATAAAGGTTTGTACACACGTTCATATAGGTTGTAGAATGGTTAGTTTTACAGTAGTGTAACAAAAAGAAGAAAGAAGGCATTTGCATGTAGAAAAAACAAGACTAAAGTGGAGTTTCATTACTGAGTTGGCTACAATAATGTTGCTCTGAGCACTCTGCTTACTTAAAGAAAGATTCACTTAATCTGAGAGGCCTGACATGTTTAGGGAAAAAAACCAGCCAAATGGTCTGAACCAGCAACCACCAGCACAGAGATTAGCAATGTTAAGGAGAAAGTGTGGATTTGGAATGCAACTTCTGTATTTGTTCAGCTTTCCTTTCTGCAGTTTGAACTTGAACTCATCTCTAATACTTCCTTTCTCACAGCTGACCTGTATCTCAAAATATGTCTACTGGCTTGGTAAAAAGACCAGTAGTTCCATTAGCAATGTAGTGAATTTTATCCCTATCAGAGGACGGAGCATGACTATGCATGAGTCACACTTCATGTAAAGTTGTCCAATACAGTTTAATACTACCCTTTAATACAAAACCAGTGAGCACAGAATTCAGTATTTCCTTGCAGTTAGGTGCTTGCTTGCATCACTTCCTGCTTACCCTTCTAAAAACATTAGGGTTGCACACATATCAGTGGTGCATCATTGGGTAGGTGAAGCTGTCACCAGCAGAACTTTTAGTTGACCATGTAACAGTCTCTGTAGCAAGTACAAATAGAAAGGGGCACAGACTCACAGACTGTCTTTCAGTGGGAGTTTGTAGCAGATGTAACCAGTTTTAACAGTGAAACAGCTATTGCTTCTATGTGATTATGTTGTCTATGTCAATACTTGCGTTAGGCTGCCGAGTTGATCTCGCTTAGGACAGCGAGAGTACAATTCCCAATTCTATGAGACAAGGTAAAGCAATCCAACAGCTCATTGCCACCAAAAGTGTTCCACTGTGTCACTATACTGACTGACTTGGTGGCTGTTGGACCCCTCTTGCAGGCTGTCTCAGTGTGCTCATCTGAATAAAAGCAACTTCCTTTTATGCTTGTGTTAATTTCAGGCCAGTTTAGTGAGTTAAATTTGCTCATGGACGGGATGAAAAACACTAGCATGCTCTAAGAAGGGCAGGAGCTCCTTGTGTAGGAGGGGAGACCAGGGGGAAGAAAAGGCAGGGCAAAGAGGGACATGGAGAAGAAAAGCGGTAGTCAGTCTTTCAGAGACAGCAAGCAGTTGGATCAGCTGCTCCCACATCACCAGAATGTGGTACTTTAAATCAGAGCCCTAGGTTTCAGCCTGCTTGGCTGGTATCTTTTCAGGTGATCTGTGTTAAATTTGTCTAATTGGGTCTTTAGATGATATGTCAGTGGGGAGGGCAGGATGTAGAGGAATCCCTCAAAACACAGTTTTGCAAGCTCTCTAAAAGGTGCCTTTTGTTTTCTTCTTTTCAGCCACATCAAAATCTGAGGCTGTCGTAGCCAAAACCTCCAGGTTCGATGTGGGCAGTTTTGTCGGTGGCATTGTGCTGACTCTTGGAGTCCTAGTCATTCTCTACATCGGATGCAAAACCTATCACTCTAGAAGAGGCATTCAGTACAGAACCATGTAAGTTCACAGGGAATTGTCCCTTGTCCATTTATTACTTTCTTGAAGGGAATAGGACAAACAGAATGGGCAGAATGAACTCTGATACATTTGGTTAATGTACATTATATTAATATCATTAAGAGATTTAACTGTGATGATTTGTCTTTCACCATTTCAGCTATTCCTCATTAGTATTATGCCACTCTTCTGTGGGGTTTTTTTCTCTGATGTATTATATAATTTTTTTTAAGGATCTTTGTCTTTTAGCTATTCCACAAATAGTTAACATTTCATTGAAACTCTTTATGTAATTTGCAAGATTACAGATTTCTGGTTCTTCTTGACTCTTTCTTCTAGTGTCAAGAAGACACCAATCTTTAATGTTTTCCTCCCTCTTGCTGTTATTTTTTTTGTAGTGAAGTTCATTAAAAATTGCACCATCTCACTTGCTATTTATACTCAGCTCTACTCAGTTTTCTTCCAGGCTTCCATACTTGCCCACATTTAGTTCAAGAACAAGGTTGCTTTTCTTTTCCTAGTCAGTATCATCTGTCTCAGTCAGGAAACTTGTTTTAAGTGAGATGTTGTCATTAGATTGTTGGGATACTGGTGTTCAGGCCTTTTGTTTTCTCTCCATCTTGACTCCTGCTTACCGGTCATGGAATTAAATCAGTCATTGCTGCACATTTACCTGCAGTGGTGTTTGTTAATGGATATTGTAGACTTCAGATCAACAGTGTCTTTAAAACACAGAGAACCTACTGCTGAGCTTGTACAGTGGCTTTGTTTAACTGTGGCTACTGGGTATAGGTAAGACAGATAGGATAAACATGCCTGAGCAACAGCTGATGTAGAAATACGTGAATGAAATATGAAAGGCAAGATGTTAATAAGGCCATTGAAGCTGGAGGAGTGTTGACAAAATTAAATGGTTCAGTTGACTTCAGGCTTGGCTCAGAAAGGACTGTAACTCCCAGATCAATGTGCCCTTTGCCCTTCTTAGCAAGGTGGCCTCTGCTCACAAAATGACCTTCTCAGCAGCAGCTAGGTGGCTCTTTCTCATGTTGACTGTTGCTTGTTGTGCAAAACATTAATTACCGTGTTTCTATTCCAGTGATGAACATGATGCCATCATTTAAAGAGACTTCAGGGAAGACAGCATTGGAAACCCACCCTGTCACAGCTGTTGTAACTTGCTTCTGAAAGAGTTTCTTTCATAAAGATGATCACAGTCTCTAAACCCGTGGGTGTTACCCTGCAAAATGTTGAGAACTTTTTTAAACATCCTGATTTTTTACATTGGCTTTCATAAAAGTAAGAGGAACTCAGCACTTTGTAGAGACAGTATTTTCTTATTCCAGTATTTGTAGCCAGATTTAACAAAATCACATATTGAGTCATTTTAAGGTACACACACAGGTCTCTGAAATAGCTAATTACTGGCACAGGTGATTACATCATTGCAATTCTAAGTAAGTTCAGGTGGGTTTTTTTCTAAAATTTTGTATTAAATTGTATTTATTTTGAAGTTTGATGTGAACTTTAGTTTAGAAATTTTGGATTTTGAACAACTCAGTTAATTTTTAATAGAGTATAAAGGGGGGTGTTTAGCTAACTGTATAGAAGGTGTGATGAGTACTTTAAGTGTCAGTCATTAGCTCGCCGGTGACTTGCAGATACTTTCCTTAATAGGCTGTACAATGAGACAAGCTGCAGGAAGCATGGACAGACTGGAGATAGCCATCCATGACTGTTTTCTCTAAAAGCTGCTTTTTTCTAGCATGTCCTAATGAAGCTTGTGCAATTGAAGATAAAATAAGAATGCAAAAAAGTAATTGTGCCATCATAAATTAAAAAAAAATACAAAAATTGCTTCTCAAAATTGGCTTTTAAGTTGAATGTAGCAATCACTTGGCTCTTGATCTTTATTATTACAAAACTGTATGCAGTGTTTTAGTAGCATTTGATAATCACTGAAACTTACATACAGAAGGAGAAAACTATAATATAGCATTTTAGAAAATTATAAACTGCATTTTTAAAACTGCATTTAGAACTTGGTACTGCTGGCACATGTGTACAGAGATCTGGTCAAAAGTCCAACTGAAGATAATGGGCCATCTCTCAGAAGACCTTTAGATTAAGGCCCAAATGCACTGGGGGTCCTGTGCAGGATGGCTGGTGCTGCTTCCACATCACTTCTGCAGTCACACTGAGGTAAATCCTCTGACTTCAGTAGGTGGGCTCCTGATTTACACTGGTGTAAGGAAAACTAGAACAAGGACCAGGAAGCACAGACTTGCATTTCCTTATGTCACTGAGTAATTGTTCAGTCTTTCTCAGGCTCCACTTGTAGACCCCTTCCTGGTGAAAGGGTTGGTGTGGTGGGGTTTGACCGTCCTGGTTGCTAGCACTAGTCCCTCATGCAGGGCACAGAGGGGAGGTGGTGACAGGTGAGGAAGGTCACAATGGGAACTGCATCTAAGTCTGTCATGGGGCTGGGGAACAGTGCATCAGGGGAAATATGAGTACATCTCTGGAATAGGTTAATTTTTTTGTTAAGCAGTAGTTTATTCTGACATGCAATGTTAAAGTGGCCATATGGATATTTTTTTCCTTTTTTACTACTCCATCTGAAAAACCATGGCTAATGAGTCATCTCACTAGCACCAGCTACACACCTGAAAAAGGGCGTACAGGGCTGTTTCATTTTTTTACCAAGATTGAGGTACAGGGGGAGAGAAAGAGTGATTTGAAGTAACTTTTGTAGTTTTTATTAATTGTGGTGTTTGGAAAATTACTGGATTTGACTTGAAGAGTTAGAGAAAAATTCTTTCACAGAACTGTAATTTCTTACTTTGTAGAAATTAAGACAATTAAGTGCAACTCAATTACTGGGATTGTCTCACCTCTGTTATACAGACGAATAAATAAAATTAAATCTTTGCAATTGCTACATCAATTTCAGTTGAATTTTCATAATTCCCTCAATCCTTTCCACAGTCATAACCATTGAATAAGAAGTGTTCACTGTATATACTTTTATACAGTAGAATACCAGACCTAGTGCATTTTTGCCCAGCTCAGTCATTTCTAATGTATTTTGTAATCCTATTACTACAGTAAAGCAGAAGTATGTGCTCAAGATTTCATAGGTGTCAGTGCAAATATAAAATTTGACCTCCTTTCAGGTGTTTGGATACTGGACAAAATCCCTTCCCCATTGAAGTCTCTTTCCCCCTTAGTTCTCTGGTGATTTAATTATTCTAAATTCAATCATAAGTTCATATTCATTTTACGCAACAAATTTTTAGCATAAATTGTTCCTTACCTTGTCTAGGTATACTTATGCTACAGTCACTCAGCCTTTCATTAAGTGGATTTATTGATACTGTAAAGATGATTTAATTGTTTCTAGTCCATCCCCTCTCCAGGACTGTGTGTCTGTTTTCTCATTAGTACCGATGGCTGAGCAATGCAGTTCAGTTCTGTCTTGCTTAGGAACCCCTCTGGTGACACATCACTGAACTGCATTTGCAGTATCACATTTTAAGCCCCTCACCAGCATTCAATTCATTATTACAGCTCTTTTACACAACCCTTACCCTCATTTTTTATCCTGAAAATTCATGGTTTTGTGCTTCATGTTAAAATGTATTTCATTTAATATTACAGGCTGAGGAAGTCATCCAATGGCTACAGAACATAGCCACCTTAGGTCAGCTATCATGAATGTTACTTTGGCCCTTCAGACACATCAAGATCAGCCTTACAGTCACATCTCAGGGCTGCAGCATTCTGCCTTCCTCCCACAGGTCTTCCCTTTTCATGCACCTCTCCTTTAGCCTATAATCCAGTACCAAATCATAGCACTTCCAGCTTAGTTGTAGTGATGGGGCCCTGGCTCAAAAGCTTCAAAGTAGTCCAGAAATGGTGCTTTCTTTGGGGTTTACTTAAAAAACCCCCTATTTAAGCAAGATCACATTACTGTGATAACTTGAAAATTTGTAAATCTTTCATACCTTTCCTTTTTGTTTAGCGACTGTTAAAGCTCTTACATATTCATGCCACTCTGTTTTTGCCCTGAAGACTTACACAGCATTCTTAACATGCTTTATTGAAAAGATATAAGCAACAAAATTACAGTATTGCCAAAAGCAAAGTGGAACAGCATCAGAGACTGGAAATTGCCAGGATAACTCAAGAGGTTAAAAATTTAGCTGTGATATGGAAGCAGATGGAATGAGCATGGACCTGTACAGAATGTAAACACATTCTCTAGAAAACACTGAAGGAGACCCAGTTCATGTAGGACTGAGACAGCAGCCTTAAAAACCAGGAAAGTTGTTAAAATTAATTTAGGAAGTTGCATTTTACACTCCTCACAAACTGCCTAGACCCAGGGACTTGCAATTCCTCATGTTGATAGCACAGCGTCTAAGCTTTAGCTTGCTTTAAAATTTAGTGTTTGATTTACTTAAGACTGGCACAATGATTAATTTTATCTTTCAGTGTCAGGTTATCCCTATATGTCAAAACAGCCAATTCAGGAACTCTGAAAATTGAAAGAATAAAAGAGACTGCAAGTTCTGGGGGCTCTTAAGTGTTCTTTTAGAATACCAAGAGGAAATACATTCTCACTCTTATACTCAAAATTTTGAGTGTGTCTGTTGCTTGACTGACCTTCTCCATATCAAGTTTAACGTAGCTGGGAAACCAAGGTGTTGTACCTGCCCAGCCCTGAAGTGGTGGGTGCTTCTAAAGTGTTAGAAGAAAAAGTCCATAACTCATTTTCCTTGACAGGGTTCATAAAGAAAAGCAAAGAGTGTGTGTACAAGTGAGTTTTTCTTACTCATTGTTGCATATATGACTCTTCTAAAGACTATGTTCTTCCCTTAGAATTAAAACTATCTTACCTTGGGCAAATCACAGCCTTACCTCCTGTCCTAGACTCTGTTAGTATCAAGTACTTCACTTCTCTGTTTGCCAAAACAATACAGCATCAGTAAGTCAAGCTAAACTGATCCAAAAGGAAGATCTTTGTTCTAAGTTAACACACCGTAACATGTGGGCTTAGAAAGTTTTGACAAGTTCTCCAGCTTTTCCCTAAGAAAATTTCACCAAGCCAAAACTAAATGTGAAGGACACTGCTAGGACACTGCTTATTATGCCAACAATTTCCTGCTATGCTCCAGCATATTTTGGTCTCTCAGAAGAAAATATTTCTCCTCACAGATCCTGCTATGTTATTTTCAGAAAATGTTTGGAGTGCTGCTCCTCCTTGTGCAGGATGTGTGCAATACCCAAGACTTAGGCTTCAAAGGTCCCATGCCAGCAGCCATCAGTGAGAAGGGTGGGCTGGAGCATCAGTAACTGTTGGGATCACATTTTCAACTAAGAACAGAACCAAAGGACTGGAGATTTAATGCAATGGTGACCTCCAGAGCAAGAGTGACAACAATTACCTGTGAAGTAGTTCAACAGAACAGAGAATACCTTTTTATGTCCAGAATACATCTCCTGCCCGAACTGCGGTGGGTAATTGGGAACCAAGGTGGGTGTTCAGAAAACTGAATTTGCAGCTTCAGTCCATCTGCAACATAAAACGTGACACTGCACACCCCAGCCTCATAGACTGCAACTGCCACAATGCAGAAGTAAAGGCAGATGAACACACTATTTATAATTTTCAGGTGCTTCATTTCTGATGCCTTGTGAGGAATATAGCAAAGAACCAAGTTCTGAGAGCGTGGCACTATGGAGCTACTAGACAACCACTAACTCTCAGTCAGAAAAAGCAGTAATATAAAGATTTTTCTTTTTTATCATGCTAATGGAGTTCCTAGGTATTTCCTATATGGCAATTCATTTCAGCATGTAAGAGCAGAGCTTTGTTATGACTGGTGGCAGTACTAGAACTACATGCTGTCTTCAGTTTGAAGAGAATTGGGCCTCCTGGTCAATGCTTAAAAGCAAAAAGAAGAGAAAGATAAGCATTCAGTCAAAAAAAGAACACAAAAATTCAGGAAACTGCTAAATAATTACAATAAAGCTTCATGGCACTTGCTTCACAAAACATACAGCTGCCACTTGGGAAACCTCTGTATCTTGCTATTGCAAACTAGTATCAGAAACTGCAACTGCTCCAGATCCCTTGCAGATATGATAAGCTTCATTCCAGCAAAGAAATTGCTCATTTATGGGAGCTGGGAGCATTGCCTTCTATCTTCCTCTTACAGCAAGTCTGACCACTGAAGTCCAATGATACTAAAGTTCACATCCTCTACACCCCCTAAGCAGTGCAAACACACGCTGCCAGCTCAAGACAAGCCATGGACCTGAAATCCTGAAATGCTGATGTCCAAGAATTTGAGCTGCTTGGTCAGCACAGCTGCAGAGGGTGCTTGTGGGAGGGGGGCTGTTTATTGCTATTCAACCCAGTCAGAGCTCTGGAAAATGCTTTCAAAGAAGGAAGTGGACACAGAACAAAGTGTGAGCACGGTCAGCTGGTTCTGTCACTTGATCCTCTTCAAATAAAACACTAAGCAGACTGTTCTCCATGGTTTAACGTTTTGCCAGGGTCCTGTTTGCAATGTGCTACAGACAACTAGCTTGATTAGAGCTTTCTTGGAATAGTACTGAGGAGAGAGCATAGCTGCTCACACGTACAGCATTATCGAGCAGGGAACCCACAGTCATTACAGTGGGTGTAGCAGAAAGCCATACCCTAGATAAGCCTTCCTGACAAAACTAGGTCAAAGAGTCTTACCCATTAGTTTCTAGATCAGGTTCTCCCACTTCTCAGAAAGTGATTCAGGTACCTAGATGCAGACAGGCAGTGCTGTTTGAAGCTGCCCAGGACATTCAAAACACTGATCAACCAGGGCTGAGAGGTATATTGCAGGCCCTGAGATACTCTCAGGCATCACAAAGGACACTGAACACCTGAACCACAGAGGGCTTCTTTTTAAAGCCCTGTATATCCTCTAATCTGATCTATATGTAGTTAACTGGAACATCTGAAAACTCTAACTCCCTACATTCTAAAAAAACACCAAAAATGCATTGTTTAAAAAGTCTGCCTGCTACTATGTTTTTCTACCATGTTTTTCCTTGTCCTCTTCCTTGTTCAGAAACAACACTTACCTGTTAACAATTCCACATTCTTTAGGTGAGCCTGACCTCTCCAGCTCCCCCTGCAGATTCATTTTAATCTGCAGAAAGTATACTTTTAATGACATTTCAAAACCAGAAAAACAAAAGTAAGTTAATCAGAGCTGTTTAAAATTACATGCTAGTTTTGAAACATTTACACTTTTAATAACAAAAATAAAGGGAAGATATGTACATGTAATAAAATTGGGCAAAAGTCTACATTTCAAAGAATTACAGCAAGCCAATCTACAGTTAAAGAATCCAGGTCTGAAGACTGAGAAGTCCATGTGGACAACTGTGGGCTGAAGAAGACTGACTTTAAATTAGAGCCAGACAAACTGACTCCAGCACTGCAGGATCTGATGCCGTTATCCTGGCAGTATTATTCCACTGCTTGACATGAAATCCTTGCAAAATACCTACAGAGGTGTTCATAGGTATCTACTATGCAAGTCTAGGCATACAAAGTTGAAAAGGGTTAGTAAGAGTCAATCGGTAAGAGAATAGGAGTTCCTAGACTACTAGCTTATAAAACAACACTTCAGAGTGGGCCAGAAAATCCTACTATTTAATTGCACAATCACTATAAAGTTCCAAACACAGAAAAATAGCTTTTACAAATAATCTTTAGCACAAAGACTGTAGAGCTACCCTCTGCCTCATCTTTAAGGTGATGAGGACTAGAATTTCTATCCTTTGAAAAATCAAGACAGAAGAAAGTACCAGATGCTGTTGGGGTTTTGGGGGATTCTGTTTTTAAATAAAGAGGGAATCAGCAAGCAGCACAGAAGCTCACTTAAAAAATGAAAGAAAGACAAATGGAATTAAGTTTTATTGTACTTTTGGAGGCAAACCACCCCAAAATTTTGTCAGGAAAAGACAGCGTTCTAGTTACTGCAGTCTACAGAGAAAAACCAACAATGGGGAAAGAGTAAACAAACGCTTCTTTGAGAAGTAGAAGTATTTAATTCAGTCTTCATACAAACTATTAGTAATATACATTACACAAGTATCAAGACATGAAAAAACTTCTAAAATTCCTGCTGTTCCTGCAACAGTTAGCCTCTTTTCTCCTCAAGTCCAGAAGAAAGCCAAAACAGGAGTAGCTGAAGTTAATATTAATTATTAATAACAGCAAACTTATTATATTTCCTCACATCCACATGGAGGAAACTCATGAGAAGAGTTGTGCCAAGCTCCATTTCAGGAACTCAAGCAAAAAGTTTTTTATTCAGAGTGACACTGGTGTATCTACTTTCCCTATTCAGAAAGGAACACCACAAAAACCTAATATTGACTTGGTTTTATGAACAGAAAGAGCCTTTGGCACCGAAGGCCTAGCGTGCTCCTAATGATGATACACTTTACTATTACACAACTGTGTTAGGTGGTTGATTAATCACCTTCTGTACCACAATTTTCCATTCTTAAGACACTGCTGGCTTAAGCTTCAGCAGTTGGAGGATGACAGGAACAAAGACATTTTGCAAGTTTCCCTCTTTACGAAAGAAATGTACGGACTGTACCCTTTATTGTCCCCCTGCAAATAGGGCATTTTCTAAGGGATGGTGCACATTCTTTGCATACCACTAAGTGACCACATGGAATAAAAACAATAGAAACTTCTTTGTCCATGCAAACTTTACATGTTCTTTCCTCTTGCAATCTTCTTAATTGTTCTTCCATAGGTAAACCTGGAAAAAATAGTTAACTTTTTGTCAGCCTGAATATGTGTATATATTATATCAAAATATATTTAGAGTATAGCCATACCCTTTATTTCCCCATCTGTACTCACTAAATATAGATGGCAGTAAGAAAATAAGAACATTTTCCAGAGCTCAGAAGTGGCATGCAAGGAACCAGTCTGTACTTTCCACTTCTGAGAGATGATGGACAGCTCAGGGTGGGAGGCCAACCAGTGTTTACATTTGAGAAAAGCTGTACTTTTCTTGCTTGGATATCAGAAACACAGAGCATAGCCTGACTGGTGGAAGTGAGCTATATCCAGGCTTGTAAACTTTTCTGCAGTCTGTTAACAGATTACACTACAGGACTAAGAACCAGAGCAAACTCAATCCTATGTCTGACAAGTGTTTATGTACCCAGCTGTTGGGTCAAGCTAGATGTCAGGGCACCTATAACCCACAATGGAAAAGCAGAGATGAACCCTGCTGGGGAATGCTAACCAACTATCCCCTCTCCAGTCTTTACCAAATACCTGAATGAGAACTTGTATCAGGATCAAGTCCAGCATGTGCTTCAATTGTTGAGCTCCAGAAAGCTCTATATCATATGGTGCAAAACCATATTTAAGGCACATGCACTTAACTTTTGGTTAACTTTTTCAGTCCATTTTACTAAAGCAGAATTAGCGAGAGGGTAAAGCATAAAACCTACTTCTTAAACAAAGTAATTTTTTTATGTTAGCTATTTGTTCCACAATACCCTTTAAGATAAGAAGGCAGAATTTAAGGTACCTGAAACATCTTCTGTGGGAACATACTTCATGTTCTTCTCCACTGAAACAGGAGAAAAAAAATCCTTGTCATTTGACTTATCCATATTGAAACAGCATCTGTTTGTTTCTTTTTCTTCAAGTTGCTATGAGAGCACTGGTTAGACTTCTATAAAATTATATCTTTTACAAACAAAAGAAATCCAGACAGACATACCAAATAAATCTTTGTAGAGCACAGGGTCACAATCTCGTAGGCAGTTCCTGAATATGCTGGCTGCTTCATTTCCTTTCACTAAAATTGTATCTATCAGTTCCCTTGCTTGCAATGGTGTCTGAGTCTTCTGCTTAATAACATCATGCTCAGGTTCTGTTATCACTTTAGCTGACAGTAAACTCCCAAGGACTGGAAGTACACATGTTAAACGTTGGAATAAAGCCATGCGATTCTTGCGGATTAAGGATAAATCATCTGGAACATAAGGAGGATTAGATATTTGTTAGGAATACACTACTCCAAGTTGCACTTCTTTTTAACAATAATTGATACATTCTTTACAATCTACTTGAACCATTTGCTTATTACACATCATTAATAAAGCCCTCAGTAAGTTTCATAACGAACAGACTTAAGAAAACTACATAAAAGCAGCTTCTGAGCCAAAGCCCTTTCACCCAGGAAACCTCCTGCTCCCATCTCTAGGTTAAATGATCTGGGGGGGTCTTGTCTAACTAGCGAGACTTACACTCTCCAGAGAATTGCAAAGAAAAAACACCTCTGCATAACACCAGTGCTAACTTATCGACAACCAAGAGGTTAACTTTAGTCAGTGTACGCAAAATCATGTCTGTACATAGAAGAAAGCTCTTCTAAGAGATGTCCAACAGAATTATGTACGAAAAAAACCCCAGAAAAACAGCACAACCAGACTCTGGAGACTTTTTTAAGTCTACCAGAAACAGCAATAAAAAAATTTCCATTAGGATTTAATGCTGAATCCATCCATAATTTTTTGACAGAAATAAGACTAGCAAAGAAGCAGCCTTAAGTCAGTTTATAATTAAGAAGTTTCATTATGCTTCACAAGCTCAAATCCAGAAGGATTTCTTTAGGCTGCAAAACTTCTATGGTTTTGAAGCTACAGGAAATGTTAAAGGCACATCAAATAAACACTAAATTGCTGACGTAAATGGGTCGAGTCAGATACAGTAAAGCATATCTTTGGCCATCTTACAGAATCTGAATTTGCAGAAGTTTATGGCCTCTTCTAGGAGGTGGATATGGTGGCTTACTGATTCAAGCAGCTTAAAGAGCAGGCAAATTTGGAAAAAAAATTAGTAGAGTGTGCCAAGTATTTTATTAACAGCAGTATAAAGGCACACAAATGAAAAATAGCTTTGGAAAGAAGAGATGATTCGAACTCTCGGCCCCTGGTATGAACTATTCTCCTAAAAGGGAATGAAACAATTCCCAGACTGCTAGTTCCATACAGATATCCTGACAATGCTTTTAGAGAAGCTGATCCTAATAGCAATGAAACTAAATCACTTAGTGAATCCAAACAAAGGAAAACCTATACATATTACAAACCACTTCAAATTTCACTTTTATTTATGCCTTATATGTACCTGATGCCGCTTCTTCTAATTGTTTTTCTTTCTCTTCTTCAATCTTCTCATCTTCAGCAATGAGCAGATCAGACACAAGATCATTAACAGTCTTGTAGTTTTCTCCAGTTGTAAGGATTTTACTTTGCACTGTTTGCTTTATTAGCCTTCTACTGAATCCCATCTCCAAGGCAGCTTTAATAACAGGCGTGTTCATCATGACTGCATCTTCTGAATGACTCTCTCCAGGGCCAAAACGAATAACTAATCAAAGAGGAAAATCACCGTGTATAATATAAAGAATAAAATATCTATACAACCCAGAAGTCGGACACATCAACGTTACCTACACACATGAACACCTGGCAGTAAAAAGTTTCAGTAGTTAAATAGAATTTTTTAAAAGTAGTTTTAAAAATGGAAGCCAGTTACTTAGTCATGGATTGAATCCAAGATAAACATCAATCCATGTCATGCCTTTGCTAAAATCGAGGATAATCCAGAGAAACCACTGAGAATTCCATTGTGTCTTAACAGCTTTTTTTATACTTAGTCATTTCTAACTTCAGCCTTGAAAAACGTCTTGGGGGAATGGGGAGAGGGGTGGAAATCTGTTTATAGTACCAACAATTGCTCTATTCCAAGTCTTGATCAGTATTTTCCATTCCACTCAGTAAGCACCAGACACATGGGACTCCTACTCATTGTCCTCAACCAGCAGGGACTAGGACAGCATAAACTCCTCCCAGAGGGTGAGTGGATTTTTTTCCACCATAACTAGAATCCAGCCCAGAAAGACTTCACTTTTATCAGCTTGTCCTACCTTCTTCCTTAACCTCTGCTGCTCAACTCAGAGCATTTACTCAGCTATGTGCCTAAAATGGAATTGCATAACTGCATGGTTATGACACCCTCTAGCAATTGTTCCACCAAGTTCAATACTTGCTTTGCTTAACTGAAACCCTGAAACTAAAAACCACAAATGCAGCAAGTGCCAAGCATTTAAACCCACAAACTTTAATATGAGCTGCTAGCATGAAAATAAGGAAAATAAAAAACAAGATCGCTTAGAGGTGTTTCCTTGGACTTTATCCATACAACATCAAAACTACCTCACTTTTAGGGAACAAATGTAAGAATTGGCTATCCAAAGCTAATTTGCTTAGCAATCATTGAGTATGCAAAATGCTGAAGAAGTGTAAAAAAAAGCTTTAATATACATACTTGGGGGATCAATGTTTTCATCTACAGGCGGCTCAGAGGTTGACAAGAGCTGTGGAACAGAAAAGAACTACATTAGTATCAAAATACTGCTTTTCCCTCTGTGTACCTTTCTAACACATTCTTCCATCACAAACCACGTTAAGCCTTTTACCTGAGTGGTACCCATTAAATATTTTACAGGCAGTTACACAAGTCTGCAACTATATAATCAATATAAAGCTGGTGCTGACCACTTCCATGAAGAGGAGTTTGGCATACCTTTGCCATAAGAATTACAGCTAGAAATAATTCAGGCTGTCCATGACTGATTTCTGAAATAATAATTACTGATCTGCATTATTCAGTGACACAGAATTTCCCTCTCTTAACATAAAGGACCTCATGCCTCATAGGACTTTCCACAAGTAATCTGTAGAAGTTAAACTCTATTAGTCCAAGACTAGCCATGGTTCAGCACTGGTTTCTTGTACGTGATCATGAAGAGCATTTATCATGTTAGAAACCTAGGAGAAACATATGCAGAAATGAGGCAGAAGGATGGACCAAACTCACAAAAAGGACACAGCACTCTTCAACAAGGGAAAAGCAAAGTTACAGGACAGTAAAGTTTACCTGTTCAAGGAGATGGGGGAATCTGGCCTGAATTTGACTTACAAACTCTCTTCCTTTGACACGAAGCAGATACTCACATCTGGAAAATTGACATATCAAATTATACATTCAACTTGCCAAAGGAAAAAAATACAGAAGAATAAAGGAGTTTAAATCCAGTGTAACTTAAATACTTATGTTTCTCTTCCTTCAGAAGAGAAAGAGTACTCAATGGGAAGCTTGATGCAGCCTAGTGTCAGGTGACAGTTTGATAAAACTTTTCCATGATGTCCGGTTGCCAGTAGGCTTATACATATAAATGCAGCAACTTTACATTCTGCTACCACTTGTAATCAAAACTGCATGTCATGAGAAATGATACTGTGTCAGCATCACTACAAAGTGCAGTGATGAACTGTTTCTATCTTACATGCATCTTACCATTCTTATCTCCTACTCAAATCATTCAAAATAATTTAACAGAAGTTAACGCCACTATCAAAGCCAGATCCACTTCGCTAATTCAGAGTTTTATCTCCTCTGTACATTTACTGACAGGTTTTACACAGTAAGAAACAAAGTTGTCATTTAACCCTACACACATCATGTAGTCCAACAGTAGGTAGTAAATTGCCCACGAAAGCCTAGTTGGAGATCTACTATGAGAAGAACTATAATTAGCTTTCCTGAAATTAAGTGCAGCTATTTCTGCCATTAATGTAGGTGGCAATTTTCACAAGCACAGATAGAAATTAGGTATGCAATTGCCATTTAATTAGGGGTGACATTAAAAAGTTATTTCTGTTATTTTTCCAATAGAGACATATTAAACAGCCACTGAAACCTTCCTCACAAGCCCTTCCACATGTAGGAAACTAAACTGCACAAGCAGAAAAACTGGTTCAAGAGCATTCAGCATGGGAACAGAACTAGAACAAATGAGTTACACATACTTCATTTCTCAACAGCCTACGCTCTCCCCAGTCTGCTTTCTGACTGCTTCTCTTAGACAAATATGCTCATTAACAATGCAGTCTCACTTGCTAATAGTGATTTAGGGATGCACATGGCCTTTAATTACGAGGTGGAAAGCATTATATACCATGTTTAACGAAGAAATGTTTTAATTAAGCCCACCTTAGCATTTCAGAGCTTTTAAATACACATGAAATACATCCAAAAGAAAGAGTACGTCATACGGTGAAGTTAAACAATACATACCTGCCAAAATTAGAAGCATTTAAGAATGTGAACAAATTATTATAAAGATGTTGCAAGTTACCTTGGAAACCACTTTGCATGCTCAATCCATGGATCATCTCCAGATTCCCAGCACCTTAACCCACCATCACAGCAAAAACACTTGACATCATCATTGCGCCCTTTAAAAAGAGAACAAGGCAAAATATCTGGCAAACGTTCACACAATTTACCTAAAAGTAAATGTTGACATAGCTGCATGAATAAAACCGGAGCAGTCTGTTTTTCTTACCTACATAGTAAAAGCCAGCATCTGCAAGCTGTTCGGGCTGAACTGGAATTCTGGTTGGCCAATTGATGAATGTTTTAACACGTGCCTCGTGGGTTTGCATGCTCACATTTGAAACATTGAAACTTGGCTGGTCTCGGGTGAGGTTTTCCACAAAAGAACAGTTTGGATAGTGCCTCCGGTGCTCTGACACAGCATTATCTTTCGGTTCCCAGTTACACAGCTGACCACCGCAGGTAAAACAAGCAACTTTGTCTGCTGTCCCCAAGTAATAAAGTCCAGCCTTTGCCAGATCAGTGGGTGAGAGAAACGTCAGTGGCCATGAGTGAAAGGTGCGTAGCCTAGCCTCTTCTGTACTCATAGAAGGATTGTAAAGCTTATGTCTCAAGAATGAAAGGTCTTCAGCTGCCCTAGTAGTTACTGGGTCTTGAGGAAAACTGGAAAAAGAGCCACTGAAATATCCAACTTGTTCTAAACTCGGAGAAAGCGATATGGAACGCAGAGATGGTGAGAGACTGTTTGTAACTGAGGGCAAAAAGGCAGAACGAGACGACAGTCCACGGTTGTTAACTGAAAGCATGCTTTGAACAAAACTGCAGCCAGGACATAGCTCTTTATGTTTTTCCATAGCATTATCTCCTGGTTGCCAGTTATCCAGTGTTAAGCCACAACTGAAGCACTTAACTTTATCCTGCACACCAGTGTAATAAAACCCAGCCCGGGCAAGACTCCGTTCTGATACCGGCATGTTAACAGGGAAAGCAGAAAACGTTGACATTCTGTAGAGCTCACACGATAGGTCATACTTCAGTTCACCACACACAGCACTGTGCCTCATGATGCTAGCCAAGAAAGGGCTATCTTCCACTATATTCATAATGGACTGGTTTTGGAAAAATGGGACAAGTCTTCCTCTGGGAGGTAGTTGTGTGCATGAAAGGCAATTTGGAATAATCCCCGCCTGTACAAAAGCAATAAATACTTTAATGTGTAACTTCAAATGAGCAAGTGAATAGAATCTGCCTCGTGATTAAAAGCCTTTTAACATTTGGGAAGTTCTTGTAGTTTAGTTTACAAAACTGCTTTCAGTGCAAAAGCTGCCTCATCCCATTTTAACAATTGGAGAAAGCATGTTGAAAAGGAATTTCCCTTGAATCATATAAGCATCACATGCTTTCGTTCTTTTGCATATCTGGGAGAGCAGTACCAATTTGTCAGGCTAGTGGAGGTGGGATCAAAACAGGAAAAACCTCAAAAGGGTTTACTAATCCTTTGTCAATAAAGAAACTAAAATTGGGGGCAACTAAAACAATATTGTTCTTATCCAGAACATATGTTAAGTGATTTAAGAACTAGATTTCACCCTAGACAGCTGATAAATATGTAGCTTATAGGCACATATAGATTTTAGTTTGAAAACCTCATTAGGAACCTGAAAAGTAGGGTTTATCAAGTTCAAAGGGCATACAAAAAATAGAGACCCAGAACTGACATTACTGAACTGATCTGGTATATTTGCAACTACTGGCTCCCAAAAACACTTCTCAACTTCTGCATATTGATGTAACAAGTTGTTAAGACTAAAGAAGTTAGTCTATACACAACTCCACATGTATTGTATATTCAGCTATTAGATAAACAAATCCTATACACTGCCTCTGACAAGGATGAACTCTCCCTGTTAACAAATTTGGGATAGCCCCAGCTTTTCTGTCTACAACAGTGTCAGCACTGAATTAACAAATCATTTCAGTTTTAACCTGGTGCCTGAGTTACAAGTACAGAGTTATCAAATGTAACATAAATTAATTGCCTTGTATCGGGACATTCTGATGCTTTATACAGTTGAATTAAGTTTTTTCTCCACGCCATGTTTATGGCAGAGTAAACAGAACCCCCAGATTAAAAAAAAAATAATAAAATTGATGTGTTAGTTTCTTTATTTCTGCACAGAACTACCTCCCAGAGTTCAGACTGAAGTCCCTATTAAGGTGTCTACGCCTCCATATTGATACTGACTGTTCTCAAGAAGAAATTGTAAGTATCTGTAGTTTCAATCATCTAATTCTTTTAGGCGGAACAAAATCTGTAAGAAAGAAAGAGAGGAGTGTTTCAAAGTATACAAAATTAGGTGCATGCAATGTCTATGCAAACAGAAATTACACAAATTAAAACAACATAAGCTTTTTTGTAATCATAGAACGTTAAGAGTTGGAATGGGCCTTAAAGATCATCTAGTCCCAATCCCTCCTGCCATAGGCAAGGACACCTCCCATTAGACCAGGTTGCTCAGAGCCACATCCAACCTGGCCTTGAACACTGCCAGGGGTGGGGTGTCTACAACGTCCCTGGGCAACCTGTTTCAGTGTCTCACCACCCTCACAGTACAGAATTTCTTCCTAATATCTAACCTAAATTTCCCCTCTTTCAATTTGTACCCATTACTCCTTGCCCTATCACTACAGTTCCTGACAGAACCTTTGGCCTCTCTGTAGGCTCCCTTCAGATACTGGAAGGCTGCTATGAGGTCTCTATGCAATCTTCTCTTCTCTAGGCTGAACAGCCCCAACTTTCTCAGCCTGTGTCATGTTAGCTAGAAAGTTTCAGGGAGTCAACATTACACTGTGATATGGAGTGGATTTTACACACTTAATTTCCCTGTTACTGACACACTTGCAAAACTGTTTAATCCACGAGCAGAATTTTTCTGGCAGATGGATTAATTGGTCTACTTAATCACCAGCTGTATAATTAAAGGTAAGATCCTGTACTAAAGCTGCAACCATTTAAATTGGTTTAAACTTGCAGATTCTCAAACGTGAAGGTCCAGCTTTATAACACTGACTTAAAGAGCACTGGAAATTTTAACTTATGTGAAGCCAATTATATTTGACTTACAGGACATCAGCAAATCTAAACTTCGCTAAAAATTCAGGTAAGGCCAAATACAAAGTTTTTATATTTGTATATGTGAATAAATACAAAATTATATATTTAACAGTCTGGTACGGAGCATCGGTTCCTAAAAAGTTCTTCCAGGAAAGGCTCAAAACAGTCATCATGACACAGCACTACGAAAACAGCCCCCTGCGCTAAGGGCACACATCCAGAGCACCCGAAGGCGCCCGGCGGGGTCTGTCCGTGGCCGCACCCCCAGCAGCCACAGCCCCATGTCCCCATGCCCCTGGTCCCTCCCTGGCTTCGCCAGGCCTCGCCCGAGCGGATCCAGCAGGGCTGCCACGCTCCCCTCCACGGCCTGGGGCGGCACAGGACCCTCAGCCGCCCCGAGGCTCCTCCGCCACACCGGGGACGGGCATAGGCACAGCATAGGCGCAGCCAACCACCCACTGCCCCCCCAGTGGCAGCGCCCTCCCGCCTGGGCCCGTCCCAGGCCCGCCCGTCCCATGCCCCCCATGCCCCCCTCCCTCCCCTCCCCAGTACTCACGGCCTCCAGGTGGGCCCCGCAGCGCGCCCCAGCGCCCCAGCCTATATGCGGTGCCTGGCAGGAGCGGGGGGAACAAGCCCCCCACCGGCACGCCCGCCCGGGAAACTCCGGCCGCAGCGTCGCACCGGGAAGTCCCGGCGGCCGCCGGGCGCAGCGGGGCCGGACGGGGCCCTGCCCTTCCCTTCCCTTCCCCGCGAGCGAGCGCCGCCGGGCGGCGGGAGCGGCCCCCGGGCGGTGCGGGGCCCTCGGCGCGGGGGCGTGCTCGGTCGGTTCCCAGCGCTGAGGGGAAGGGAGGCCCCGGCCCTTGACAGCACAGGGATCTTGGGTACTTTCCTGCTGGCGGCGGGGGAAACCCGCCCGTAGAACGTGCTTTCCTTGGCGGGGATTTCCAGCCTCGGCGGGCGCGGCGACGGAAGGGGAGCGCCCGGGGGGGGGCAGCGGCCCAGGCTCGGCTGCACACACAGATCCGCCGTCCCGAGCGGGTGGCCAGGACGGGGCTCACCGCAAACCCCGCAGTTTTTCACCTCTGCTCCTTGACACCAGTGTCAAGCTCGGCCGCATTTCCTAATATAGGCAGCTCTGCAGCCTGCGAGAGGGGAAGCAACGTGACAGGCGAAAGACCCCAGTCACTGAAAGTCACAGAGGAAGAACAAGAGGAAGACAAAATAAGATGATAAATTTCCACTGGAAAGGTTTAAGGCAGTATCTCTGAGTACAGAAATCTGAAAAACTTCCACGGCAGCTACCAGAACGCTGATCAAAAGTTCAAAATCTCCCAGCACAGTTATGGTCTGGCATTTCCTATGAAGAAACAGCAGATAAAAGATTTTAAAAAGCCCCTTTTTGGGACGACAGAATGATAGTAGGGTGTTTACACAACTGAGAACTGAAGAGTAAAAATAAAGGAAGTGTGATAGAGCATTATGACACTAGTGGGTAATTTTCTGCAACAGAGTTCCCGTAAGATGAGTTTGGAAGAGACTCATTCATATATTTTCTAAAACTGTTATAAATTTCCTGTCATATGTGATGACATCTATCATATGTAAGGATACTGTCACATTTGAACCACCTAGCTGTGGTGACAGTACAGTACAGCTGCTGCTGTTACACCATTTAATATCACATAATGATAGACATAGAAACCTTTGCATTTCAGCAGTTGCACAAAAAAATCCCAAAAAGGTCAAAAACTTTTTAAAGTTTAAAATGGTTGTCAGATCACTGATACTTTGTGTTAAGGAAGTTGCTTACACGGAAGTCAAGGTTCAAAATACTGTATCTGAAGAGTGACGGGGTGTGGTATTTAGTTTTGTTTGACATAGGGAACTGTTTAATGTCACATAAGGAACATACTTGTACGTGCATGTGCTTAAAGATTTACTTTGACGGGTTATCTCCAGTTTTTGGGACTTAAAGCGGGACTCCCCAAATGAAGTTACATTGAATCTATTATAAGATTCTTGACCTTTTACCGTACATTCTCCCAAGCCTAGTTAATCCAATGTTCCTCCTTAACTCTGCTGCATCCCTCCCTCCCTTATGCCACTCCACCCCCAGCCACTATCTGCCCTTACCCCTCTGTACCCTTCAGTCTCCTGCTAATCTGGCACTATAAACTGCTATTTCCTCCCCTTCCAGGCCTCAAGGCAAGAGGTTTCAGGTTCTCCCTTTCTGCTTGGCAGCCTCATGTCACAATGAGGAGGAAGGGAGGGGAGGAATTATGAAGCAGACTAAAATACTTGGAATAGCAGAAAAATATGTGTAGCTGCCCTGAGCTGTCAGGCTCTTTCAGCTTGCTTTGCCTCTTTCAGTATAGTAGCAGCTCCTCCACTTCTCCAATCCCAGCAATTCCTTTGCTTTTTCTGAGAAAGAGATAAGAAGGAACTTCCCTCACTTAGCTGCAACGATGTCCCCAAAGAACATGAGGTAAGAACGTAACTAATGGGCTGAAATTCTTGAGGAACAGTGCATTATCATCTGTATTCTCTGTATGGCTTCAGCCTGGGACCAGGGTAACTGTTCAGAAGCAGAAGAAGAGGACAGCAGTGGTGCTTAAGCCCTACCCAAGCTAAATGCAGGCTTTGGCTTTGGTTCTCTGTAAATTCTCAGTCACATCACAAGGACTATTCCCTATTCCAGCCCTTTCACCAGCTGCAGCAAGCTTTCAAGTTCACAATCTTGACCTAAAACCCAGTAGCACTGATAAACTGAAACAAGGCCTTCTACTTTGTAGACTTTTAGCTCTCGAGAGGGGGAAGAAGGCAGCCTTCAGACAAAGCTGTCCTCAAAAAAAGGAAACTGCTTTCATGAGGAGTCCTATCTAATCATAGAGGTCAAAGTGCTAATAAAAGTGTGGCTGCCACATTACCAGTGTTTATGAAAATAAACTTAATGGCAGTGTTGGCTGAAACAGCAGAGGTGATAGAGCAAATTTCTGGAGGTGGAAGGCAGTGCCTCTGCAGCATGAGTGCATTATCAATGCCACATCTATCAAGTAACACAGACAGCCCCTGAAGTACTTCATATAACTGCAAGCCCAAAAGTCTTGTCTGGGAGGCCTAACAAATATGTCTCCCCAAGCTGTCATCCTTCTCCAGTGCCTTCTCCCGTGTACCATCCTCCACAACGTTAAAACATCTGGCTTTAATTGTGCCTCTGTAACACACCTCTAAATATCTATTGAGAGGAGAGAGGGAGAAAACACACTGTTATTTGCCTTTTCCATTACTATTGCCCTTCTGTCCCATAAATTACAGAAACAATACTATAACCTAGTTTCTCACCACCATAAGAGAATGCCAGAATATCTTGCTAGGATTTCAGCCTTACCAATTACACATGCACAACCTTAACAATCTGACATGCACAATGGTTAAGCACAGTTTTTATCACAGGTGTTTTCTGGAGATACAACTAGCTCAAAGTAGCAAATTAATCTTGTCAGTGCTATCTACAGTTTCAGTAAAACTGCTTTGGTCCTTAAACCTATCTAAGAATATAACCTATAGTTGTTTTTTTTGTCGCAGGGACAAGCATTCAGTTGGGTGAAGAAAAAGTACTCCACAAAACATTAAATGTATTACTTCAGCTGTATCTACAGCCTGCCTGGCTGTTGATATACAGCGATAACAGAAAATATCTTCATTCCAAGCTGCTTTTAGGAGTTGGAAATTTGGCATTTCTCCAAGGCCTCACAAGGCTTCATCAGGAAGCCATGCAACTCATCTAGTGAACTGAGAGATAGAGGGAGACTCCCGTACCAGCTCTCCCACAAATCTAAACCCACCTATAAAACCTGTATTAAAACATAAAACCAGTTATCACTGGCTAGTGCCCACATTTTTGAGCTTCCCAAAGGTATCAAATGCGTCCATGGAACATGATCTACTTATTTTGAATTTTGGAGTGTTAATTTCATTGCAAGCATCAACTCCCGTTTCAGCAGCAAGGAGATAGGTTTCATCTGTTAAACTGATCTAAGATGGTGATTAGCATTTCACAAAAAACTAATGAATTAATTTTCTCCGGAAGATATGGCTCATCAGCTCCTTGAGGACACAAGAGGAAGATAATGATGAGAGAAACAGGAAAAAAGTAGATAGTAAGGAAAACTTGGGAAAAACCAACTTGAGGCAGAAAATACTAACTGTAGATAAAGTGGCACTACCTATCAAATGAAGCCAAGTCCCAAGAGCAGAGTAGTTCTGACATCCTGTAAACATGAGATCAGATAAACTATGTTTTGTTAATCTAGGTGGGTGCAAACTGCCCACTTTGTTTTGACTGAACACAGCAACAGGGCACCTACATCTAAACCAGCAATAATGATTACTTTTTTCTTTTTTTAAAATGAGAATTTTTAAATTGCATTTGGGCATATAGCAAAAAATGAAATATAAACCTCACAAGGAACAAATATATCTAGACATTAAGGGCAACCATGACTCATCGTAATAACTCGAAATGTTCAAGAATAAAAAAAACAAAACCCAGAGCATACATCTTGCTGCTCCCTTTCTGAAGGTCAGTACATTCACAGTCTGCAAAGTTTCCATTCCCTTTTCACGCAGACAGAGTTTTGTTTTCCACATCCTCCTACTCAAAGGATCACGAGTACAAAAGTTAAAGTTTACCTTAATCAGTTGTGGATTTTCTCACATTTAGTGCTCAGATAAATTCTCCTATTAGCCATGAATAGCCTCAATAATGTATCAAAGTCACACTGAATAAATTGAGGCTTTTAAATCAGTCAGAAACTCTCTTTGATTAATATTTACTTGGAAGATAAAAAATAATCAGAATGAATTGCAGGAAGATCTTGGTAAATGCTGAGTTCAATTATCTTTCTAGATTTGAGAATCTGATCACTTTTCCAAGTTTTATTGTATGCTTCTAGGAAAACCTGTTTTGTTCTTCTGGTGATATAACAAACATTACATTCAACAGGAGACAGAAGCATGAAGAATGCCAAAGAAGAGATGACTGGATTAAAATGAACCAGGTGGAAAGAGGTGGAAAGAGGACCACCTATATATCAAGGGAATCAAATTCAACTGCATCAAATTATGTAAATTCAGAGCTCCACATTCCTGGTTCTTCCAAAGGAGTTGTCTTTCTAAACAGCAGGTTGGCTGCTTTGACTCCAAGTTACTTCCTGCTGTCAGAGTATGAAAATTTCTCTAGATCTGATTTCCCTCATTTATTCCCCATCATCTCTCTGTGGATTTTAGATCCTTCCTAAGGTGTTCAGTTTGCTTTAGTTGAACCAGCTGTTGCTGTTCATATTCTTGAGGAATCTTTTATTCAAATTTGATTTTCAATACTCCTGCAATTGAAAGACAATCAGATGTGACACTGTTTAATTTCCTGAAGACTACACTGGATGTTTACTAGATTCAGGAAGATACAAGTGGTTTGTGGATCACACTAAATGTAATTACATCACACTTTACCTACAAAATGGGTCACTGCCTTGACAAAGTACTCTGTTTAAAAGGCCATCTACCTCGGAAATTAAATCGTCTTTTTAGAGGCTACA